CATCTTACGCCATCAGATGTTTCCCCTTTTAGCGTTTCTAAGCTGATAAGAATATTATAATATAAATCAATGTTGTTATTACGTCAATTAACTAACATTCTACATCTTCAGCTCTGAATAGAGATATAGTTGTTTATCACAAAATTACATCTTACCCCTTCCACATACACTTTACAAATGTTCATTAACGTATTTATTTACTTTTAATAAGGATAAAACATTAGGCTTTTGGAGCAAAGTTCGACTAAATAATATTTAATATTCCAGTCTTTATCGCAAAGAAACACCAGACTTCATCATTTCAAATATCAATTTATTAATGCTGTTTAAGAAGATAATCCATGTTTGCAATGAAACTCATACGAAAATTTGAATTAAAAACGCAGACTTACTGATTTTTAAATTAGTTGGGACATATAATTACCATTTATTTGCAGAGTCATCCGTATCTTTCATAATATATACTTATGCGTTTTGTTATGTCTACATTATAAGATGAAATATTAGACAAATCCAATGAAATTTTTGTATTTTAAAAAGTGTCTGTAAATATTCAGCCTGAAGGACTCAACATGAGTGGTTAAATAATGAATTAAACGGAAGTATAGGGAGAGTGAGAGACGAGTGTTCCATCTATTTCACATGTTCTATCAAAAGAGGAGTCCGAAAAAGTACATTACAAAGGCATACAGAATATTATACAGTTCAGTTTGAACGTAGACTTCTGCTATACGCTCTATATTCTGCGATGTAATAGAATTTCCCCTCCTACAGTGCAACTTTATACTCTAACTAGTTACAGCAAAGTTGCAACCTAACCTATCATCCATAGTATCAAAGATTCAGAATTGTAAATTCGGTTAATTATACTGCCTTCTACTGCTGTCCTCGTACTGCAGTGACGAGCAAACACATACTCCAGTCTTGTGTGGAATGACTGTATATAAGCACAAGGGAAATTGGACATGTAAATATAATTACAAAATTCTGTTCCGGGTAGATACTGAAGTTGCATTTGGGTTCCCAGTACAGTTACATAGAATTATGCTTAGCTGGAGAGATGCGAGGTTTACTGTCATGTGTTTTGTTCCCTAATGAAATCGTTTAGGACGCAGACTCCGGTCACTATCAATAACGCGATGTATTTTGTAGACCTCAGTCAGATATTCGCTCAAACTACGTTCCAATTGAAGAAAAATTTCTTCTGAGATGCTGCGACTTGTATTCATGTAGAAGCTGACCGAAGTTCCAGAGGCGATGAGTAAGCCGCTTCCGAAGAAGTAGGATTAGTTATATGTGCAGGCCGACAGTAAACATCTCTGAAACCCTCGTCACTTTCAATTATGACCAAGTTCTAAATCTGTAGCCTTCATTTTAGTAAACCGTTCATCACTTAATCAATCGACTGTGGTCTTCTAAATTTTGAGGCCGTGTGGCCTTGCAGATGGTTAGCAACGTTTTGGAGAAACGTGTCGCCTCAATGTTCAGATGAAGACGAAACGAAGAACACAGTCGACATCTTGACCGCCATAAAAACCTCTCAAGATTTTAACTTCCTGCACAGCTCTTAACATTTTGGTCGTGCGATTAACAGTTCTGATTCTTTTAACAATTTTGCCAAATATGTGCTATGCTGGGCTCATGCTTTGTAACAGACCTTGGCGCATCCTTCAACATCCATTTCGATTTATAAACGTTGCATAACCTAAGTAATGCAAGTATCGATCAGTAAAACTCGCACACTAACTTCACAGAATAACTCCGATGCGTTCTGGCTCTCAAAACGCCAATCTGTCGTGCACGGTTTAGAGCGTTTTTGAGTTTTTGTCTCGGTTCATCAACGGCTGGAACCAATTTTTGAAACTTTTAGCAGTAGTTTTAAAAGCTTTAACAAATTAATTCTAATAGCAGCCATGAGTATTATGAACAGCTTTTCAAATATTTTCAGTTACTTAAAATATTCTGCTAATTTAATTTGTTTTTGAAATAAAAATCTATTTAAAAGCAAATAGCTAGTCGGAACGGATGGTATTAAACATACCTGTATGACATAGACTTATTATTTAAATGTTCATCATTTTCATTAGAAAAATTATATTATTCTTTGCTTTTGTCAGTTCTAATACATTCCAAACAGAATGGAATTTAATAAAAACAGCTAGTCATAAAACTGTACTAAAACTAAACCACAAAGAATCCCCCATTTGCGCACAAAACTTTTGGGTTCAAAGAAGTTATTTCAAAGCAAAATAAACTTTTTATAGACGCAGGCCAAATGGAAAATATTTCGGGTATCATAGGATTTTAACGTTGTAACTGGACAAAGGTCAAACTTTCATCCGTCGAGTTTCATTTTATTAACCCTTCAGCGTGTATGTCAGTATAATCTGGTAACGCTCGAGGGCATTTAAATCGACGCTAGCCGTATAAGTCAGTGCAGTGCACGCCCGGCTGTTAGCCTAATTCCTGCAGCCCACAAGTATGGAACTAATAACGACTGATATATGATGTTTGTAGTTTATCTGTTGCGAAAAGAATGCTCTCTCTGTTCATATAGGACTAGCTTTGTATTTCATGCGGCTCGGACGGTCAATCTAAATATAACTGCTTGACCTCAAAAGTTATCGGGACTTGCCTCTCAACACGTGGTGTTTGTTTGTGAATGCAGGTTATTCATTTTATTAGTGTCGGAAGTATCATATGATACAGCCATAATTCCTGGAACTAAAGAGAGAGGAAAAAAAAGTCGTATCTGAAGCATTCAAGACTGATCAACGTCGCTTTGTATATGCGTTCTGCATGTACCGGTGTGTCCAAAATAAGAAAATTTTATCACCCCTATACTCAGAAGTATATCTAGGAAGGCTTCTTAGTAAGAGACGGTTGAATGCATTACTGTATAATGAATAGCTGGCCTTCAGTTTCTCAGACAGCTGATAGTCTGGCGTAACGGCGCATATTTCTGACACAGGAAAGAATGCTGCAGCCTCCAATACATTACGGAGTGTGCATTAAGCACGAGAAAAGGATAAAATCTATATATCGGGGTAGTGTTCTTTTTGATGACGTTTCAAATGAAGCCATACGAAACTCAACGTCTAATCCGCATCTACCATTTACTCACACACAGGGCGTTCATATTATAAGGTAAGATTATAAATCCAACATTTTAAGAGTATTTCAGTGAAAATACATAAATATATTTCACATAGTTCGAGCGTTATGATAAATAAAGTGTTTTAGGGCAAAATTTAAATGGCCATTCAGACGCAATTACCGCGGTTCGAGCTCTGTCGCGGTATTTAAATTTACCGCGTCAAAGGGTTAAGTAAATAGCTTCGGTAAAATGTGTATCCATTTAAAATTATTCGCTAATCATCTTACTTTGATGAATTTAGCTAACTCTCAAACAGACTTACAAATAACTAATTCGATGGTAGAGATTCATTCTTAAGAAGCTAACAGCCACTCTTCTAGTCAATAAATTATATTATTTCATTCTATTTTGGAAGGATAAAATTAAATTTTATTACTAACACGACCAAGAATCACTTTCGCTGTTTCTACACACGTTTTCGCAAATCTGCGATTTTATTTCGATGATATAAGGATAATCATTATTCTATTCGACGTCAGATTTTGAAACCTATTACCTGCGTCGAAACTTCTCCGGGCTGATCATTGAATGTATTGAACTTGAAAAAATTCTGGCGCCATTTAAACATAAACATAGGGAGTGCCATTTCTTATCGTTTTACCCGCTTTCGTTATACGCGGCGATTCGCAGGAACGCGACCACGTGTATAAAGAGAGTAACCTATAGAAACTTTCATAATCTCTATCTTACATTCGGACTCTTGTTGTTCTTGCAGTGTGCTTAGCAAAGTACGAACCAAACTGCGTAGTTATCATGAAATGGATGTTTTAAAACGTGTTAAATCATTCAGACTGTAAACATAAAATGATGGGTTTGAAGACTTCTGTTTTCTGGGTTGTTGCGCTGAGTAGTATAGTAGATGTTTACCAGCGTTTCAGATGAATCGCCCTGATGACGGAGGCAGTATGACCTCTGAAACGTTGGTTAACATCGACCAGACTACACAGCGCAACAACCCAGAAGACAGAAATCTTCATACTTATCGCCCTGATGACGGAGGCAGTATGACCTCCGAAACGTTGGTTAACATCGACCAGACTACACAGCGCAACAACCCAGAAGACAGAAATCTTCATACTCACCGCTGTGAAAACCTCAGATCTTATACAGAAAAAGAGGGTTCTTACAAGAAAATTACAAGAAAGAGCGGGTCAATGTACGGTTTCAGAGAAAAACTCACTACATCACAAGGTTCAAAATTTAGACTTCAGCCAAAGAGCTGCCGACCAATACGCAATGTAATCAATGTACGAGGAAACCGGAAGTAGAGAACATTATAACTTAAAGCACACTATTTTCTACAACTAAATGCAAATTAATTGTCCGTTAATGACATAAAATACGTCGTGGACCTACAACGATAACAGAATAAAGTCTGATAAACATTAATTAGGTAGAAAGCGTTAAACGTTTCGGTCACAGATCGGATGACCTATTGCAACCTTAGTTACGACATAGACACCTTTAAAGGAAAATGTTTAAAGATCCAGTTCATTTCCTGGTAAAAAATGTACGCCTCGTCGTTTTACTCCTACACATCCAATCGGAGAACAAAGCAGATGTCTCAAAGTTTTATAAAGAGGGCAGAAAAAATAAATTCTGCCGTACTTCATTAATGGTATCACTTTTGCAGCTGTGGTTACAGGACTGTTTTGAAGCAAGACCGCATAGACATACTAACATTTCGGAAATAATAATCCTGAGCCATATTGAAAGAGAAGACGTAAAGGACGCCCACCGAATAAAACAGCTTTAAGGAGACAGTATTTATCGTTTTAAATAAGTGTCAAAATATACGTTTACATGCGAAAATAATTCGAAAAATTGCCTTTAATACATCTCCGCTGTCTGTCAAACAATGCCACCAATATTCCTGTCGCTAACACTCAGTCTCATCACGGTTTTATCTGTCTTGTTTATTTACTTGTACTATTATTTCACTCGAAACTTCAACTTCTGGAAGAATCTCGGTATCTCCTACGTAAAACCCCTGCCGTTTGTAGGCAATCTGAAGGAAGTGGTGTTCCTGAAGGAAAATATAGGGAAGGCTCTTCAAAGAATCTACAGCGAACATAGTGACAAGCCGTATGTGGGCATCTTCGCGTTCGATGAGCCGAGTTTGTTGATTCGCGACCTGGACATGGTGAAGAATATTCTTGTAAAGGATGCGCAGAACTTCCTTGACCGTTCCATCACAGTTGACGAAGATGTGGAACCCCTGCTTGGAAAGACCATGTTTGTGACAAAAGGACAACGCTGGCGCCGAATCAGAGTGAAACTGACTCCGGTATTTACAACGGCAAAAATTAAGATGATGCTCTACCTCGTGGAACTCTGTGGCAAGGACCTGGTGAAGTACCTGGACAAGGTCACAGCTGACGGTAAGTGATCATAGGCGGCATCATATACATCCCTATTTGGAATATAGAGCGTGTATAAAAGTGAATTACCACATCACAGATTGTGGACAAAGAACATACGCAAATAAACATTCATGTAATTGACACACGTGACCGTCAAGTGCGAAAACATGCACCACCTTCGTAGCAACAAAACAGGACAAAGCAGTGTACATCGAAAGTCGAAAACGAGTTACTCGTCAAATGTTTAAGCGATACTGAAATTTCAGTTTTCACGGCGTTGAGAATTGCGATGTTCTTCTCCTGGACTAAGACTCCATATGGACTTGTACGTAATAGCTACGTAAATACTTGCAAGTGCACACACGGCGTCCCATCCCAGAAGGTCAACGTCGTTACAGTCCGGGTTTTCCTCAGATATTTACTTTTGTAGTCTGTACGTACGAGCCAGATCTACATTTACCACGACAACGACAACTGGGATTTTATTATATCTGTGATCTGAGACGAACAGTAAGCAATGTTGTATGAAGCAGTTTACTTATTTTATAATGTTGGCAGGGACCCCAGTGGATGTGAAAGAGACAATGGCTAGGTTCACGACCGACGTGATAGCGTCCTGCGCGTTCGGCATCAACAGCAACTCGCTCAAGAATCCCGACGCCGAGTTCAGGCGACACCTGCGCAATGCGCTTGACTTCACTTTTATTAAGGGATTGGCAGGACTGACGGCGTTTTTCGCGCCTAATCTTAAGAGGAGCTTGAAACTGAAATTTGTGGATGATTACACAACCAACTACATCAGAAACACTATTTGGAATACAGTGGATTACAGGTCTGGAAAATATGTATATTATTTCCCTACTATATCTGTTAGAATATTCAAATTAGCAAACATGTTAAAGAACTAAACACTTTAATAACACAAAATTTATGTCACCAAATGTAAACTTAAAATGAAATCTTATACTTAAAACTTTGCATACCGTGTAGTGTATTAGAATATAAATAATCACACAAACAACTATTAAGACACTATTGCCATACGCGTTTGATTTCCCTGATGCCACTGATGATGGCCTTTTGACGTTGAAACGCGTATGGCGATAGTGTATTAATAGTTGTTTGTGTGATTATTTATATGAAATCTTATATGTTTTTCATATCCATCCGCGAGAAGAAAATAATTACCAAAATATTTTAGAATGATTTACAAATTTCAGGAAAGTGGAACTCGGTTTGTACCCGCCGTTCAGCCTGAAACTCGGGACCACCTTGCCTTTAATATAATTAATATTGGAGCCTCCTTCACTATGGATAAATGAAAATGATCAAGATGATGACCAGGGGATAATATTAACATGTTATTATAATATTCTTAAACACAAAGTGATTAATCAGAATTGTATCACATCATATGGACGTGTATTTGAGTTTATTTCCTGTGGAGTGCACATATTCAAATTATTCTTTTTCTCAATATCACACATTTAAGACATACAGCTGGAGTAGGAATTACATGCACTCGCAACTGTAGTTATTCATCAAAAGTGTCAGAGACAAATTTCACCCTCCATTGTCAAAATAAATTAGTCTAGGCCGCTAAAGATTACCGTACTTGGATATCATATTCTCTGAAACGCTGACGTATGTCGCAGATACTTAACTTTGGAGATATTCTAGAATCAAAATAACAGTAAAAATTGATATTTGGAATGCCATAAAGATTCTTAGCGGCCGTTTAACATTTTCTGTCATAGGGAGAAGAATGAGGTTATACGAAATGATTTTCTGGATTCTATGATCGAAATGAGAAATAAATGGAAAAGGAGCGTCCAAGAAGACAAAACACCAGCAAAGAGTCAAGAGAACGATTCACATTTTGGTAAGTTGAGAGCATTCTTTTATATGATATGGGTAATACCAAAATAATGCATCAAATTTAACTTCTAAACAGTACGAGGAACATTTTAATTTAATCGCAAAAATTTACGTAGGCTCACACAAAACGCGAATGCAGGTGAACTTTTAAAATAGCCTTGCCACACAAGCGACAATATAACATTCGTGCTTTTACTTCACATAAATCTTCCGCTTTTCTTTACAAGTTTCGTAACTCGCAGCGATGAGGCGTCCTCGCATTGAATTGAGTGCAAAAAGGCTGAGTCTATGGGGCGTAGATTCAAACAGATTAGGAAGGAGTACTCATGATAATTTCTATCAGGTCGGCACTTTCTCTGAATCCCACTGGAATGCGAGTGTAGCTCACCATGAGTTTCATGTTTTTATTTGGTTGCACTCTCATGACGCAATCCTAGCACCAATTTTACAAGAACTTACGGCCAAACATATAAACAGACTTCGAAGGAGTACTCATGATAAAAATTAGAAGGTCGGCACTTCCTATGAAGCCCACTGGAATGCGACTGTAGCTCACCATGAGTTTCATGTTTTTATTTGGTTACAATTTCTGACGTAATTTTACAAGAACTTATGGCTTATGAGCTGGTTTCTGGGCACTAGCGTTTTAAAGAGTCAAATCATTTGAATAATACTATGATGTATTATTTCTGTGTCTATTACTGAGTATATTTTATATATTTTACATTACAGATCAGGTTCTCAATAACGATGCTACATGGCAGATTTATTTAATAAATGTTCGTAAAATCAGAAAGCTTTCACAATAACTTACAAAACAGTAAAGGTATAGTTAGTGTACAGAAAATGAAGCGAGTAGTTAATAAATTTACGAAACAAATAATACTCCTTTGAAATTCAACAGATATTTCACACCAGTATGCTTGAAACTAGGTAATGAAGTTACATCCACGCAGAAATTAATAAAAATTAAATTCGAGAAATTCTTGTTGCCATTAAATTCAGAACATACCTTTTTCCACTCTGCTTCGTAAAATGTATTCACTAAAATAAACTACCCATAATTTTATATCTGCCATATCACAGGTTTTTTTAAAATTTGAACTATTTTAAGGCGAAAACTTGTAATTCAGGTGGACAAACCAGAAATCAAAATTTGGAGCAAAGTGCTTACATGGAATGATAGCATTAAAATGATTCTAAGGAATTTTGGTAAGGGTGTGGTTTTGAATGAAATGGCTCAGGATACAACCGAGTGCTGGGGTAATGAAAATATCATAATATCACTTCTGATTTCATTTGGAACTGGTAAGGTGTTCACCACATCACAGATTGTGGACAAAGAACATACGCAAATAAACATTCATGTAATTGACACACGTGACCGTCAAGTGCGAAAATATGCACCACCTTCGTAGCAACAAAACAAGACAAAGGAGTGTACATCGAAAGTCGAAAACGGAGACAATACCACAACGATATATTTTCCTATTTCAGAAATAGACGGAGACGAATTTGTGGCTCAGGCATTCCTTTTTCTAGCAGCGGGTTTAGAAACTTCTGCCACTGTACTGAGCTTCGCTTTGTATGAACTCGCTTTGCATTCTGAGATTCAGCAGAGACTGAGGGCGGAGATGACGCAGGTTCTGGACAAACACCACGGAGAGCTCACATACGACGGAATCCGTGAGATGTCTTATCTCGACATGGTGGTCAGAGGTGAGCGGATTGAAATCGTTTATGTTCTATAGATTGTGATCTTGTGATCTGTGAAGCTCCGTCTTCAGAACAGAAGATGGAAGCGACGTGTTCTTACGGAACGTTGGTATGTACATAACAAAGCATTACAATTCATGAGACTACAATCCACGCTTTTAAAACACAAAAGTAATAAACTAATACAGGTATGTCTTGAGATGTGAGATACTCCTAGCGGTGAAGAATTCAGTGTTGGTCTTCTGTGTTGTGACTCCATGTGGACCTGCTTGTGCGTTTCGGATAAACAATTAATTCAGTAAAAAAAAAAAGAGACAGAAGAAGTTCAACAACTTATCATATCTTCTGAAAGTTGTTCGCGGAAAGTTAGTTCCAACGTGATGATCAAAGTTCCTTGCTCAGCAGTTATGTCAATCACTGTACACTTAAAATACACGAACCAACAAAATTATTCCTTTTTCAGGAACAAATAAAGGGAATAAATAAAGAGCAAATTACGTGAACGTTAAACAGACAGATCAGAAACAATTGCGATCTCTACAAAGGCATTCATGAATTTAAGAAACTCAGGAATCAACAAAAATATTACAATTTTGCTGAATCCCACAATACTTTGAATAAATAGAAGAAATACTTTCGTCAGTTATTGAACGTATAAATGCGCTTTACGATACTGGGAAGACCGAAACACATATATTCGCGCTATTATTACTTGAACCTAAATCTTACACGCTTTATCACCATTGTTTATTTTTCTCATTTTGTTTGGAATGCGGCACCAGGGGATTTCATAAAACGAAAATAAACTGGAATTTAATGAGACATGATAGTTCCTGCCACACCGGTACTGATGTTAATTTTTTAGTGAAATTATACATACGTAAATAATAGAGAAGGATACAGACAATTTATTACACGCTAACAAAGCAGTTTGCCTGGAAGTAAGATCATAGAAACAAAGCATATCTTCATGATTCGTTATTAGCATATAAGACAGATTCATTACAAGGTAGCTAATAAATATTTTGACATTGTGCTAATGGGGCAGCTGTTGAACACCATACATTTATATGTGTTTAATTGCCATCAGCTGTTGAGCACTCTGTCCCTTGTGTTAAATTACAAACAGCTGTTTAGCAATCTGTCCCTTGTACTGGATTACTGGTAGCTGTTGAGCACCTTGTCTGTGTATATGTCCCCGTTCCATCTTATTTCACTTTACGGAGCTCCACTCTTATTACAGAGACGCTGAGAAAGTATCCGGTACTCCCATTCTTGGATCGGAGGTGCGCCCGTGACTACGAGCTACCTTCTCCTTCCGGGAAGGAAACAATAATACTACCAGCAGGAACCGCAGTTTACATCTCGGTGGTGGGTATTCAAAATGACCCGAAGTACTTCCCAGAAGGGGAGAAATTCCTTCCAGAACGATTTACAGAGGAAAATATAAAGAGTCGACCAAGCTACACATATCTCCCATTTGGGGAAGGTCTTCGTATGTGTATGGGTAAGTACAACCGCATAAGTATTTATGGTCGCCATTTATAAAAAAAATTAAAGTAGAGCATGTTTCTGAATTCAGGATACTGTAAGAAATTTTCATTCAGCAATGGAAAATGGGAAATCTTACTTACAAACATTATCCAGAACACTGCGCATATTAAAGCTATTAAACAATACGCAGTTTTTAATGGAACTCAAATAAATTCCAGGTTTAAGTCCTGTTCAAACATAACCTTGCATGACACGACATTTAATATTTGCAAAGTACTGTTATATATTTCCTGTTACAGTCTGTGCCTAGCATTTTAATAGCAGAACACAGGCGATAAACGACACTGATAACATATCCCGCCTCTGGACACAATGCTAAGCCAGTTTTGTCCACCTCCGAGCATTATACAAACTTGGATTTTTTTATCTTCGTGGTTATAGCGCCGTGTAGTCTGGTAGTCTGTCAAATTTCCGAAGGTCCTACCTGCCTCCGTCATCAGGGCGTTGAGTGCCTAATCTACTAATCACCATGATGATGGAAGCAGCAAGGTCCTTTCAACTTTGGGAAACATATACAGGAGCACATGGCTCCACAACTCAGGAGAAAGCAATTTTCGTACTATCCGCCGTGAGAACCTAAAATCCTAATCATAAAACTCTAATAAAGTACACATAGGTTTATATTGTCATTTCCATTCAGTCTGCCAAGTTGACGTTTACTACAGATCTCTTAATCAAGATTGTGTATGCATCCATTTTACCCACACCCCTGACCTACAGAAGTCTCCCGTGTTTCATTCTTCGAAAAATATTAGGTAACTTAAAAATACACAAACTTCCAAGATACGCGATGTAGTAAATTATTCACTTTCTTCATCTATCGTAGATCAGACTTTCTTCTTCAGCACTGTCTTTACAAACTCTTTCCATTTACGAGTTACTTTCAAAGTGAGGGCAGTTCGTTTCACACCTACAAAAACCTGATGATGGAGATATCATCGTTTTACCGTTTGTATTCTTTCAAGGGTATAAAATTTCGAAAAAATTATGGGATAATAAATGTGTTTTCAATTTGCGTTCTACCATAGTTTAATCATGTGTCAACATCAGAAGATATTTAAATTTGCTTTTCAAATTTATCTGGTTGTTTAATGACTCAGTCATCCGTTACATTGCCGAATGTTAGAAAAACTAATTAAAAATAAATAGGGAAACAGTCGTGGCCTAATTTAAGTGCTATTCCGGAGAATTGTCAGGAGGGAAGTCAAAAACCTGTTTCAGCATAGCTGATGTCCAGACCGAGATTTGAAGTCGTTCCTCCCATGCGCTAAGCCACTCGACAACGACGAACGGCCTGCTCCATTCTCTGGGAGTTTTAACATATTCAAACAGCACGTGACATCAGTCGGTTCGGACTTTTGAAACGGCAAAGTGAGATGGAAACCCGATCCTGCCTTTACTGTCCGCTTGTGGTTCTGTTCACAGGAATGCGCTTTGGACTGATGCAGGTGAAGACGGGACTCATTCACATATTCTCCGCGTACGAGGTGGCGCCCTGCGAAGAAACCCCTGTGCCGATTTCCTATGATTCAAAGTCACTTCTGTTGCGAGCGAATGGGGAGGTACCGCTGTCCTTCAAACGTCTATAAGTACGGTCGAACGGCACGGGACTCACTGCCGTGCTTGCTAATAAAGGAAAAGCAATGACAACAAAAATGTCTAAATTGGTATTTCAATGCACGTTAATGTCGCTGCATATGATTAACATATAAATTAAGTTAATTTAATGAAGTATCTTTAAGGAATATTTAATTTGTTTCTTTAATGAAATACTCTCGAGGCAGTGTGCTGTACATTTGTGATATTTTTTGTACAAGCAAGATTGTATTCATGTGTCCATATGTATACAATATAATATTATGTATTATTTGTTATTTATGTTTATGTAATGACTATCTCATTAACACGGACTATACCGATTCGAATGGCCGTGACGATTCACGAATAATGAATTGCATTTTCCTCTGCTGGGCGAAACGTTCAAGAAATTGTAACTCTGCAGAATACAGTCCGTCTTAAGAATATAATAGTCGTTCACCGAGTCACTCAATGTTACAGATGGTAAAAAGCAGATAAGAATACGTCTTACTTTTCCTTGTTTTTACAATGTTTGTATTTCACAATTATTGCACCCATTAAGGGAACAAAATCCTTGGATAAAGACATACAAAACGGTTCTCCTTCAGAAGATAAGGGTCTAGACATGTAGTAAAGAATGGCGGAGAACAGCTTTCACAAGTGCCCAAATATCCGGGGATGGAATTTATAGTTTTCTCGGGGGTGAGACCAAAGATGGCGGTCTTCTGGTTTATATCGACGTGTAGCCCGTTAGAAATTTACCAACGTCATCGCCCTGATGATGGAGGCGGCAAGGACCTCTGAAACGTTGGCATACTTCTACTAGACTACAAGGTTCTACAACCCAGAAGACGGCCATCTTCGGATTCGAATACCTTGCTGTAATATTACGTATATTTTCCGCAAAAGTATACATGCCTACTTGTATCGCATAAGTGATCAAGCGGTTCACATGATGACGCTTGTGAGTCTCAGCCATTTCTTCCAATATTCCTCTCTGTTTCACCAACCGGAGTTTCAACAATATTGCGTCCCTTAACACGAATAACTTGCACGAAATAATAATATTTTGATGTGACAGTTACAAGTTTTCCACGCTTAAGTAACACCTTCACATCTGAGGTTATGTCTATAAGACACAGTCTTGACAGACAGTGGAATGTTTGCAGACCCGAGAGTCCCAACTTACAGAGTCATCGGGTCGGAGAGGGATAATGCTAGACAGTGCAGGCAAATATGCGACTGGATCAAAACCTAACCTGTCGTAGTATGATAAAAGAAAGGAAATATATACTCTAAAAAAGTTGGCTCATTCACACTTCTTCCAATGATGTTGCTGGTCCTGGAAACAACTTCAAAAACCCATTTTTTTAAAATAAATATGGCGTCATGTGGGCTCACGTTGGGGTTGCACCTCATGCGTGTCTCTGGAATATCTAAGAGCTACCACGATGAACAGAATTAAGAAGCTTCCTCATCACGCAATCGTGTCCCTGTGTTTAGCAACCACGAATGGCAAACTCTAGCTAACATTCCACCTCTTCTCTATCAGCCACTTTGCAATGTGTCGATGGAATATTACACGGAGAAATACCGAATAGTGAGCATTAACATTTTCGTGGCTAAGAGGGAACGGATAGCAAAAAGCATTTCGCACTTCTTAGAAATTAGTGTATCTTATAAACAAGTGCAATTTAATAATTGTTTGTAGATGTAAATACGCCACGGGCCGTCAGCGATTAACGGACTACACATTGATAAATGCTGTTTGCCAGTCAGTAGGACAGCAAGAGCTGATATTTGAAGGGCACAAAACCTAGCTGCGAATATAACAGTCTCAAGGTCCTTTTATACCCGTACCTGTTTGAAGGTCGAATTTCATGTTGCATGATAGTGGGAGATAAGTCATTATATTTTGTTCCTGCATATCCAATCCCTGCGAGAAAGACCAGTTTTCTAAATGCTTTTAAAGAGGACACATTAAAACAGATTTTACTGCATTCTGTTAAACGGCATCAACTTTTCAACTCTTTGCACAATTGTTTTCAAAACAGGTCGTACATCGATTACAATAAACACGAAAACAAGATTTTTTTTCTAACACATTGATAGGAGGCGTAAAGTCACTCCAAAATTATAACAACCCTAAATACACTATTCTTTTTTCGTTTGAAATTGCTTTGTAAAATTGTTTTAAAAGTTTAAATTTGCATAAGTGGTCAAAACATCGTCTTTAATAAATTCAGTGTTAATTTCCAATAATGGCTCTTATATTTAATTACATAACACTCGCTCTCTTCACAATTTTGTGTGGCTTGTTTATTTATTTATACTTTTATTTCACTCGAAACTTCAACTTCTGGAAGGAACTCGGTGTCTCTTACGTGAAACCCCTGCCGTTTGTAGGCAATCTAAAAGAAGTGATGTTCCTGAAGGAAAATGTAGGGAAGACCTTTCAAAGGATCTACAACGAACATAGCGACAAGCCGTTTGTGGGTATCTTCGCGTTCGACCAGCCGAGTTTGTTGATTCGCGACCTGGACTTGGTGAAGAATATTCTGGTGAAGGATGCGCAGTACTTCATTGACCGTGTCATCACAGTTGACGAAAACGTGGAATCCTTGTGTGCAAATACCTTGTTTTCGATGAAAGGAAAACGCTGGCGAAAAGTCAGAGTGAACTTGACCCCGGCATTTACATCGGCAAAGATGAGGATGATGTTCAAACTTGTGGAACTCTGTGGCAAGGACCTGGTGAAGTACCTGGACATAGTCACAGCTGACGGTAAGTGATCATAAGCGTCATAATATATAATATATCCCTATTTCGAATATACAGAGTGTATAAAGTGAATCAGATTATTACATTTCACATTAATTAAAGCTCCAGGAGAATAATAACAATAAATTCCCTTTGTTTTAAACTTTGTTTAAATTTGTTCATTTTGCGCAACACTTGTTACTCGTCAAATGTCTAAGCGATACTGAAATTTCAGTTTTCACGGCTTTGAGAATTGCGATGTTCTTCTCCTGGACTAAGACTACATATGGACTTGTACGTAGTAGCTACGTACATACCTGCAAGTTCACACGGCGTCACATCCCAGTAGGTCAACATCGTTACAGTCCTGGTTTTCCTCAGAAATTTACATTTGCAGTCTGTACATACGAGCCAGATCTACATTTACCATGACAACGACAACTGGGATTTTATTATATCTGTGACCTGAAACGAACAGGAAACAATGTTGTATGAAGCAGTTTACTTATTTTATAATGTTTTCAGGGTGCCCAGTTGATGCGAGGGAGACGATGGCCAAGTTCACGACCGACGTGATAGCGTCTTGCGCCTTCGGCATTAACAGCAACTCGCTCAAGAATCCCGACGCCGAGTTCAGACGATACATGCGCAATATTTTAGACTTCTCAATTAGAAAAGGATTGGCAGCATTGACGGCGCTCTTCGCCCCTAATCTTAAGAGGATCTTGAAGCTGAAATTTGTTGATGACGACACAACCAACTACATCAGGAAGGCCGTTTGGCAGACAGTGGATTACAGGTCTGGAAAATATGTATAATATTTCTCTACTATATCTGATAGAATATTCAAAATAGCAAACATGTTAAACAACTAGACACCTGAAGTATAAAAAAGTTATGTCACCAAATGCAAACTTAAATTGAAACCATATCTTTTCTGCACGAATCCGTGAGTAGATAATAATTACAAAAATATTTTAGAATGATTCACAAATTTCAGGAAAGTGGAACTCGTTTTGACCGGCCGTTCAGCCTAGAACACGGGACCACCTTGCCTTTAATATAATTAATATTGGAGCCTCCTTCACTATGGATAAATGAATAGGATCACGATGATGACCAGGGGTTAATATTAACATGCTATTATAATATTTTTAGACGCAAAGTGATTAATCAGAATTGTATTGTTTCATAAGCGTGTGTATTTGAATTTATTTTCTATGGAGTGAAAATATTCAAATTATCCTCGTTCCTCAGTATCACTCATTTAAGCTGAAGTGGGAGTTACATGCAGTTACGGCTATAGTTATTCATCAAAAGATCAGAGACAAATTTCACCCTCCATTGTCAAAATAAATTAGTCTAGGCCGCTAAAGATTGCCGTAATTGGATATCATATTCTCTGAAACGCTGTTGTGTGTTTCAGATACTTAACTGTGGACACTTTCGTCAATCAATATAATACCAAATAAATATTTGCAATTCCTTATTCCTTCTCAAAGGTATTTTCACTTATTCTGTCATAGGGAGAAGAATGAGTTAATACGAAATGATTTTCTGGATTCTATAATCGAAATGAGAAATAAATGGAAAAGGAGCGTCCAAGAAGACAAAATACCAGCAAAGAGTCAAGAGAACGATTCACATTTTGGTAAGTTGAGAGCATTCTTTTATATGATATGGGTAATACCAAAATAATGCATCAAATTTAACTTCTAAACAGTACGAGGAACATTTTAATTTAATCGCAAAAATTTACGTAGGCTCACACAAAACGCGAATGCAGGTGAACTTTTAAAATAGCCTTGCCACACAAGCGACAATACTAAATTCGTGCTTTCGTTTCACCTAAATCTTCCGCTTTTCTTTGCAAGTTTTGTAACTCACAGCGAAGAGGCGTAATCGCATTGCCTGAGTGCAAAAAGGCTGAATCTTACGACCAAAAATATAAACAGACTTCGAAGGAGTACTCATGATAAAAATTAGAAGGTCGGCACTTCCTATGAAGCCCACTGGAATGCGACTGTAGCTCACCATGAGTTTCATGTTTTTATTTGTTTGCACTCTCATGACGCAATCCTAGCACCAATTTTACAAGAACTTATAGCTTATGAGCTGGTCTCTGGGCACTGACGTTTCGAAGAGACAAATCATTTGAATAATACTATGATGTATTATTACTGTCTCTATAAGTGAGTATATTTTATATATTTTACATTACAGATCAGGTTCTCAATAACGATGCTACATGACAGATTTATTTAATAAATGTTCGTAAAATCAGAAAGCTTTCACAATAACTTACAAAACAGTAAAGGGATAGTTAGTGTACAGAAAATGAAGCGAGTAGTTAATGAAGTGACGAAAAAAATAATACTCCTTTGAAATTCAACAGATATTTCACACCAGTATGCTTGAAACTAGGTAATGAAGTTACATCCACGCAGAAGTTAATAAAAATTAAATTCGAGAAATTCTTGTTGTCATTAAATTCAGAACATACCTTTTTCCACTCTGC